TCCGGATGGACGCGCGTGTCTAGACGCCCACGTAGCCTGCCCCTGTTCGCCTCGCCCCACGCCCGCATGCACACCCCGCCCCTGTCGTTGCGCCCGCGACTCCTTCTAGCGACCCACTCCTCTCTCTCTCTTCGTGCGGGCAGGACCCAGGAGCTGTGATGAGGACGAGCATGGCCCTGTCTGCAGGACCCAGGCGCGCCCACATACCTCGACCGCCGGCCCCAGCGCGCCCCATCCGCCTGCACCTGGCTCGTTGTGCCCAATCCCCTAGCGCTTGGGCCATGCCCCCATGACTATCTGAACACCCATCTGAAACATAAAACACTTGAATGCAACATACGTCTAAAGCAGATGAAACATTTGGAACATACACCTAAAACATGTGTGTGAAACATATGCAATGTCTAGATAAAACACTTGCAAACTTGCAACATGAAAACACTTACTGCAACGTAAGACTGAAATAGCTAAAACCATTGGAACATACTCTTGCAACATGCGTAAAACATATGCAACATCCAAATAAAAAACGCTGGCAAACATACGTCTGAAAACACGTGAAACATTTTGAACAAACGCTTGCAACATGCCCCTGAAACACTTGCAACATACCTCTGAAACATCTAAAACACTTGAAACATACGCTTGCAACATGTCAGACGCGGCAATCTAGTGGGCGACGACCACCACGTCAGGCGCACTGAGGAACTCGGTAACCGCCTCGATGGGCAGATCAGGGCTGGGAGGCAGCGAAGCGAAGAGCACCACAGACTTGGCCGCTCGCGAGCTTCTTCCGCTACCGGGGCACGAGCAGCCTCGAGGCCGGCGTGAGGTACAGCACGGCTGCGATGCCTTGCCGTCTCCAGCCGCAGGAGGTGGTGATGAGGAGGATGCCGGCGCCGACGCCGGCGATGAGGGCAGGGGCGGGTGGGAGGCGTGACTCCAGCGGCAGAGCCTGGCGACTGGCGCCACGGAGGCTGCGAGAGCCACGGGACGGAGGAAGCGAAGCGGCATTATCGTTTTTCATGCCAGCCAGGACTCCACCATCTCTAGATTTTATGATTATATGTAATGGATTAAATAAATTTCATGTAATAAAACAGCAGAAAATCGGCGGTTGTACTTATAGCTCGTTGAGCGTTCATGATCGAATAACTAGCATAGAAAGTCATAGCCGTGTATCACGGTATGGTCCTAAACATATTTAGATAGGGTGATATGCACTAGTGAAGTCCACGTAAAACAACAAGTTCCATAAGGGCCCGTTGGATTAGGGAGATTCCTGACCAGAAATCGTTCCACTCATTCACGGTTATATAAATTTGACTACCAGGAATTCCTGGTAGGAACGGTAACGTGGCACTGTTTCCCCATAACCGAACACTGCCTAACACAGGAATCCCACAAAACAATTCCAATGTCATTGAAATTTGACGTTGCCGCATAGTACTACGTTATCCGACGACCAATTGATGCTGTGGTTCAACTGAGCCAGATGCTCACATCAAATTTTGAGCAGCTCGGCGTCTCTGGCAGGGAGTGGCACTCGAGTCAAAATGATTATACACAAGGATACCAACAATTTCACGAATCAACAACGATTGAGCTTGGCACTGAAGCGTCACCATCCACGGCAGTAAGCTGCCACAAGAACAATGAATCCCCAATGAAACAGTTTGACAAAAAACAAGGAGCAATCACAAAAGCAAGTTCAAAAGCTGGAAATTCTTGACTGACAACATAAAATTCAAATCAATTACAGTACACCTTCACTCGGTTGCTAGTAAAGCATAAAAAAATTTGGTGGCCAAGTTATAGACAAGAAACAAAACTCTTATAAGTATCACCAAAAGCACCAGTGTGACGACAATCAAACGGGCATTCTGCACCTTCCGCGTCAGCAATTCCAACCCATCAATCGTAACTGGCATTCAGGAACTTCAACAGTTCGTTTCGCTTGCTCTCAGCAGCCTTGTCTTCCTTTGTCTTCTCAAGCTTCATCATTATCTACAAATGAAGTCGGTCAGTTAAATGCAACTCTCGCTTTGCTTTTCATTGCGCTTGTAAGAAAAATGACAAGCTCATCATTTGTTTTTTATCCTCACCTTTTTACCAGAGATTGCACTCCTTTGAGGACCTTCTTCCTTTTCTTTGTCGCGTCCAAGAAACTAATGGATAAAATAAAGGATGTTTCAAACTGATAAACGCAACAAAGTACACAGAATGCAAAACAAAATATATTATACCTTGGAAAGCTGGACAGGGCCATCAGCATGCTCACTCTCTTTCATCTGTATAAAGCTCCCCCATTTATAATAGAACACAACCAACAGGACAAGCAGCAGACCAATCCACCATGTTGTTACCCGTTCATCAACCCCAGCTCCAATGTCAAAGAGCCAGCCCAGAAACAGGCACAAAGAAATATAAGGACCTCTTGTGTGGAAGTATAAATGATAAAATATACTTCTATCACCAACATGTTATGTTAAGCCATCATAAAAGTTTAGTAGTTTCTGAATAAATAGGAAATTTACCTCTTTGTGTTTACTCTTGTCTCGTCTATGATGCCTATCTTTGCTTCGCTCCCTCTCCCTAGACTGTCACACAAGGAAATGCAATGAAGCCAAAGACATATTTAGATGCCTGCGCATGAAAACCTTAAGAAAACATCAATCAGGCACAAATCACTGGACCGGTACCTTTCTTGATCTGCTGCTCTTCTTATGCTTCCGAGATCTGCCAGACACCTCACGGTCGCTGTCATAAGAGCTTGTGCTGCTACAATGAGAACAACATACTTCAGTATGAGAAAACCAGGAAGAACCCCATGGAAATATAAGTTTTCCTTTGTTCAGTCAGAAACAACAAAATGGCTATAGCAGTTGCTTGTTCAGGAAGCCATATACATGTTCACCAAATTTTCGTACTTGCTCCTAACCAGTCTCCCCTAAATCGACTTCATCAATTTAATCATGAAACCATCATTAGTTCAGATTGTCTTAGCTGCAGTATCTAACTATTTCAAATGTACTCTCGGACACAATATCCACCATTAAGTTCAGACTGCCTTAGCTGCAGTATCTAACTATTTCAAATATACTCTGGAACACAATAAGAATTATGATATGTGCAATTTCAGGTGAAATGATAAGAATTATGATATGTGGTATGTGGAATTTCAGGTGAAATGATGTACACACAAAAAATCCCAGGTTATTGCCCAATATAACATCCACATCTGGTACAATCCCATCCAAATAAAAAACCGTGAACTCCAAATCGCCGTTCCATCAATCCCAACATAAGCATAAAAACGAGTTAATTCACGAACGAAACGCAGAATCCAACACCAACACTAATCACAGGCTGCTTTCTCTCGTTCCACCCTTCGGATCACGAACCGCACCTTCCAGATCGATCACGAGACAACCCTTTATCCTCCTAACCCTAGGTAGAGAAACGCCGAGAGGGAAGAGGGGGATCAGTTCACCTGTAGCTGTCGTCGTCGGACGGGGACCGCCGCCGCGAGTGCTCCCGCTCGCGGCGGCGGCGCTTGTGGCGGGACCTCCGGTCCTTGCGCGCCTTCAGCGCGGACGAGGACGCGCCGTCCTTGCGGCGGCTGCTGCTCCGGTGGCGGTGGCGGCGGCGGCGGTCGCTCCCCGAGGAGGTGGAGCCCGAGTCGGAGGAGGATCCCGTGCTGTCCGTGTAGGACGAGGTGGAGGCGGCTGGGGACCGCGCCATGGTTCCCGGCGGCGGCGCTCGAGAGGATTCACGCGACGATGCAGCGACGGGAAACGCGTTTTTTTTACGTCTCCTTTCCACGAGCGCTGGGCCAGTACGGTTTCTCCCGGGTAAAGAAAAAGCTCCCTGCCAGGCTTAAATGTGGGCCTTGATTCCTTTCAATAAAAAAGTGGGCCTGGATCATGTGGGCCTAGATTCCTCCAAGGAAAAAAAAAGTGGGCCTGAATCCTCACCATATTGCACAAGTTATTTTTCACTTTTGAGTGCAATTTGTTTCATCTTGAAATATACTGTACAGTAGACAATGTAGAAACATGATCATTTATTAGTCTCATTGATCAAGTAAGATTCTATATAATTCTAAATGTAAATTATATGCATTGTTGTCAAATCTTCTCTCGTGATTTGATCGCTTTTTCGTTATTTTTACTCCACGCTTGCTGAAAAGAAGTTGCTCCATACATTTAGCTTATGGATGATAGTCTCACCTGTATGTTCGCAATGGTAGCATTACACAGGTTTCGACATGCCAGGGTCGGTCTATCATAGATGGGCAGCAAGACATCAGACATGCATATGGTTGACCGAGAGGGTAAATCAAACAAAACCAAGCACGAACTTCAACATGGTTTGGGCACTATCATAGATTATATCAGCAATAACATACCCTACAGAATAATATTTTTTATAAAGAAAAAACAAGCGCTCCTGAACCTGAAGAATCCAACTGTTCTCGGACCTCCTTGGTTCTTCCTTTTGGTAGTTGGCACCAGACTTGTAACTATTCCAGTACAGACAGATCGTGCTGCATAATGGCCATCTGAATTCTGTTCATGACCCGTGGTAGACTTTTTCTTTCTATCTTGTACTTTGTACACTCCAGCTCTTAACTTCACCGTTCATGAGTGTGCGTGTGAGGCCATCGTCTTATAGGAATCCTGCTACCAAAAGAGAGCCAGGCAGCGTGGCCACGTCGTTCGTTTTTTTCGGCCATCGGATTGGGCGCGTGGACGGCCCAGATCGTGCGAGTCCCGATCTTTTTGCAAAAAGCCCTTAAATTTTAGTCGAATCACCCCGCAGTCCAGACCTCCTCTTAGGTTTTTTTTTCAAAAAAGCCCTCGAATTTTACCAAAACTAGACCTATATATCGCCGGACCCTCTCTATCCCGACGCGACCACGGCGACGGGCGCGACCGGGGTGCGGCGGCGTCGGCCGCCCTCCTCCTCCTCCACCGCTGCTCTCCCTCGCCTGCCTCTCACCTCCATCTCGCCCTCCCCTTCCTCTCTCTCTCTCTCTCCCCTTCCCTCCTGATGCGGCGGCGGGTGCCAGGCGCAGCGCCCGCGACGCGACGCTTCGCGTTTCCCAACGCTGACTTCTCGCCTCGTTTCCTCTCCGCCGCTGCTCCAGACTCACATCTCCCGGCGCCCTCGCCTATGCTCGGCGTCCGCGCGCCTCCCGCAACCCCAACGCACGCGAGAAGGGCGTCAGATGCCAGAGTACGTCGCAGCGAGGCCCTACAGCAGCGCCACGCGCTCCTCCCATGCGGCCTTGCGGGGCTGAGGTCCGCAAGCAGCAACCCGTGCTCCCCAACCGAGAACGCATCGGCGGCGGCGGCGGCGGAAAGCTCGCCGAGTCGCACCTGGAGCGCCGCCATCCGGTCCCGCTCCGTGGCTTGAGACGACCGGCGAGTGGTTAGGCACCCTTTTCATTGCTTCTTGATGTCGATCTACGGCAGGTTTCCTCCTTCATTCTCTCTGTGTGTTCGCTGTTACGGCCAAAAGACGAACAGACCAAGCTAATAGAACTTGCACATTTGTACTAACCCATGCAGAAACTTGTGAAAATCGTAGGAAAATAATTGTAAATCGAAATAATGTGAAATTAATTTTGTTACATTCATAACTTTATCCTCTTTCTGATTCAATCTTTGTTTTCACTTTTGATTTTTGTTTCCAAGGATCTAATGGGGATGTGCTGTCTATTTTTTTTGGGTGTGTGCCAACTAATGTGCCTAGGTGCCTTAGTGATGATGCCGGCTCCCCCTTCCTCCTCTAGAAATTGTCACATTGATAATTGCTACTTTATCCATTTACTCATTTTTATCCCTTTCTTGATTATATCCAAAGACACCACAGTGCATTGTGGATTGTGGTGGCCGTGTATGCTGATTGGTTTTAGCAAGTTCATTGACAGGGATGTATTACTTGTAAGAAAAAAAGTTTACACGTTGGTTTCGTGGGCGACACATGTTAGTATTACCATTATATACCTTTGTTACGCCTAGCAAAAAGATTCAAGGCCAACATCGAATTAAAATTCTTTTTGGGCATAGTCCACGTTTTTCCCTACCTGTTACTCATCATGTGTACCATAGGTAAATACAACTGCTTGCTTCATAACTCATTACACCTCAAGTAGTCTTGCTGAGTAAGTTTTAGTTCCCCAAATCTGTCGCCACTTAATAACTTAATTAGTACATATCAGTTGTTTTTTAAGCTGACATGTTATCACAGAGTATCAGGTTTGTCTTTATATATGGATGACCCCTTCTCTGTAGGTATCATGTCCTACAGAGTGTCCTCATGATTTTTTATGACATGTCTACATGGAACTATTAGACACAAATGTCAAGTCACTAAGGTGTAACATCTTTGCTTTGCTCGTGCTGTTAGTTTTGATGTCAGTTTCAAAGGTAAGACATATTAGTGTCACCATTATATATCTTTTTTTATGGCTAGCAAAAAGATTCAGGGTTTTGATGTCAGTTTTAAAGGCAACATATATTAGTGTTAGCATTATATATCTTTTTTATGGCTACCAAAAAAGATTTAGTGCCGACATAGAATTAAACTTTCTTTTGGGCTTACTCCATGTTTTTTCCTAGCTGTTAGTTGTTACCGACCATGTGTACATAGTTAAACAGAGCTGTTTAACTTCATAACTGATGAAGGTTAGACAGCTCTGCATTCTCTCCTTTCACCTTTGATTTGTATTTTGGGCTTACCAGGAATATTCATATTTGCCTTAACAGGATCTGTTGTTTCATATCATATTGTCTTTTGTCTGCAGTACACCATGTGTCTGTCACAGTTCCTTTGTTGCAGGTCATGGCCGAGTCCCTGAACAAAGGCAGGTTAATCCTCTGCATTAAGGGAGACACCATGCTAATTAAAGAAAATAGTTGACCTTTTAAGCCATGGGAAATTGCAGAAGTTGCAGGTGTCATCCTTCAGAGGTAAGCTGTTTGCCATTTTCGATGGATAAAAAATATGGGACCATTTAAGCCATGTGAAATTCTATGTGTTTTTTTTTCATTTTCCTTTTATATCATTTACTTAATATATATGGCTCATAGTTTTCTAAATTTGATATATGATAATAGTTGCTCCTGTTCAAAGAAAAGGGGTTGGGGGAACAGAGTTTTTGAGGGACTAAGTAGATAACTCTCAACAATAATTCTTATATATATTATTCTCACATGTGAAACACTACGTTTACCATCTGCTACTTACCTGCACTCACCGTATACTTTGTTACACCCCCTGCTTATCGATCTTTCCAGATTACTACCCCACAGATTGCCTGCTACGCTTTGGAGATGCAAATTCCATTTTGCTTTCTGCTATTGCACTACTCATCTCCAAAATTAGGGCCTGTGAGAGTGAGAGAGATGGATTTTATGTTTTCTTTTGCTACGTATTGTAGTTTGTTATTCATACATGGTTTGTTTCATATCTAGCTGAGATATTGAACTGCCATTAGTGACTTCTCGTTTTTTTATCATCTTAACACTGATTTATTTCAGGTATGTCTGTCATAATTGAGTACAAATATGCTTTCCTCGGGTTACTGCTGCATCCTATAGTCGTTGTGCCCTCTTAATACCCACAGGTTGCTATCATTATCCATGTTGCTATTTATTTGCAGGGGCAAAGTGTTGTATTGGGCGAGCGGCTGCGTCCAAGATGGTGCGGCTAGGAAACGAGATAATAAGAGAATTGTAAAGAACATAATAAAACAAATAAAAATAAAAAATGTCAAACCAAGTTTGTTGAACTCTACACAACCAGCACTGCACTGTGAACACATAACATCACATATTTTAGTGTAATTTTTTGCTATTAATGTGGATCTGGATTTCTCTAGAGTTCTATTTAGCCCTGAACAAAACTAAATGTATAGCAACCATTGTTATCAATAGCGGAACTAGCGGGTGACACCATTGCTAACTTCTGTACTGCACAAGAAGCATTGTTCGCTCATTTCCTCCAAATTGCCGGACAACTTAGCTTTCTATTCAAAGTTACGTCATTTGTTAGTTTGTTATGAATAGTATATGACCGAAAAGTGATGACTCGGGATAAACCGGATCGAGCTTCCACATACAAGTCGCCCGCATCCGATAGTGCCACGTCACCCGCTAACCCGCTAGCCGCTGGATCAAGCGATCGTGTGATCTCGTCCGTCCGATTATGGGTCGGTTCGGCGTCGACCGTAAAGTAGCGAATATTCCCGAGGGTTGCCCATCGTGTAGAGGAGAGAGTCGCTGAGGTCATTGCGCAAGCAACCAACCGCCGACTCAACCACTTACGCCGCCCCCACGCCTCCCTCCTCCTCCCGGCGGGCGGGCCAGTGCCCCAGCCATTGGCGGGATGCGGCTCTCATGAAGCGTGGGGTTCTCAGCCATCCTGGCCGGTGGGGCCCCAATGGATCATGGCGACCCGGCCAGCAAAGGCGCGCGCGCGCGGTGGCCTTGGCCTGCTGGGTCCCGCCATCCCGGCATGGCGGGGCCCAACCGCCCTTGCGACTGGTCGCGGCCGCCGGTCTTGGGCGTGGGCTGCTGCACCACCGGAGCGGCGCGGCGGGCGCAGCATCGGGCGGTCATGCAGCCACCGGCCAGGGCGTGGGGCTCGAGAGCTGCAGTCCCGCCAATCTGGTAAGCCGCCGCACACTCGGAGGGGAGTGAGGATGCCTCGGCCGGAGTTCTAGGCGCTGCCGGATGTGTTCTACAACGAGTCGGAGGTCCCCAAGTACACCACCTCCTCCCGTATCATCGAAATCCAGGTGAGCAAGCGAAGTGCCTCCCCCTGTTTGATTTGAGCTTTGTCGATTTTGCGGCGTTGGCGCTAAGTGACATGCCTTCTTTCAGTCTAGGATTTCCGAGATGGCGCTGGAGCTGCTCGCTCTTCCCAACGATGGCGTCCTTGCTTCTTGACATAGGTCAGCTTACTCTCTTCTGCAGCTCTGCTTCATGAATCATGGCATATCGCGTTGACTAGAACAACAGAAAGTATTCTCCTTTGACGGGGGCAAAAATACATGCTGTGGGAGCTCTTTATTGCAATCGGTTATGGCAATTGAAAGACATCTATGTTTCAAGATATGCTTACCTACGATGACTTTGTGTGCTGTAATTTCTAGGATGTGGTTCTGGGCTTAGTGGTGAGACATTGATGGAGCATGGCCACCACTGGATTGTCTATGATATTTCAAAGTCGATGCTCGGTGAGGACCTCTCTATGTTCCTTTCTCTTGGCTTGTTTAGCACCAATTAGAAAGGGAAGTGGGAGTTTAGAGGAGGGGAGCTTTCTAGATATCTTGCTCTGGTACGTGCATCCTTTTTTAGAATTTCACTTTTTTGCACAGATGTTGCCTTGCTCATGTAAGAGTCCGCGTCACGGCGTGCAATGTAAGTGGTTTTAGTGCTTTGCATCTCCGTTGTGCCCATATGCGAGCTCCTACGCCGCGAGCACCGGCCAGCTCCTCTGCGGTCAGAGTGGGGTCCAACTCCTCAGCGGCCAGAGTGGTGTCCATGGACGATTCCCAGTTGCTGCTCGAGGAAATTCCTCCAAGGTAGGTGTGCATTGAGCCACTGAATAATCAGCGTTTCTGATAGTATTTGATCAGCAATCCATGAGCTTAAACATGAACATTCTGTTGTCTTTCTATCATGCAGGATTGCATCGATCGAGATAATAATCAGAATGCATGGATAAGTGCTAATATTTACTGAAATAGTTGTATCCCATGTGTACTAACTATACATGTACATATATGGTAATTTAAAATTCATATTACTGGTAGAAGTTCGAAGATCTGCAGTGGCGTACTTCATTTCATAAAACTGGAATGTCTTGTCTTTGTCGCCTGCCCTAATTAAAAAATTTATAGAATGGCACTTTTCAGATATTAGAGCATGGCATTTCAGTATGTTTAGCAAAACCATCCAACTACTCCATTTAGGATTCTTACACATCACAGATTAGGTATCTACAACGAAATTATTTAAGTGGGTACGTCCTTTTTAGAATTTAGCGATTTGGTACAAGTGGTTCAGTTACAACAGGAATTGGCAGCCGTTCACAATCAGGTATACTACTGCGACAAGACAGTAGTTGTTTCAATCTCAATGCGCATGGTTCTTTTTTTTATATGTCAAATTCAGTTCTTTTCCCAAAGCTGAGTAGTTATGTACGAATGTGAAAGATTAACTAATGGTGTTTAGTAAACTCCTCTTTATTATCTTTGATGATAAATGTGTTTATCAAATATTTTTTCATAGTAACGACTTTATACTGCTGGAACAAGACAGTGGTTTTTTCAATCTCAATGCGCATGGTTCTTTTTTTATATGTCAAATTCAGTTCTTTTCCCCAAGCATCAGTCAGTTCATCACCAACAAAGCAGCCGACAGAGAATGAACAAATGGTCAATGAGATGCTTCATGAGGATGCCAGTGCTTTCGCTGGCAGGTCTGATAGTGCTAGTACTGCTGAGGAGTTCCAGAAGAAAGTGAGAAAAACCATGGAGAAAGCTTTTTGGGATATGGTCACCAACTCCATGAGAGGAGAAAGACCTGATTATAGTCAACTGATCAACCTAGTGAAGGAAGTGAGGGATTCATTGCATGACCTGGCTCCAAAAGAATGGAAGGAGAAAATTCTTGAGAACATTGACCTTGAAATTCTGTCTCAGGTACTTGGGTCAGGTTCCCAGGCTGCACTATACTTGGGGCAGATTTTGCCATTGATACTAGAGTTTGATATTGGAGGAGAGTTTTGTCCTTATCTATGTTCCTTTAATAAGTGTCTAGTATTAAGATAAATAAAAATTCCAGAGCCACCTTTGTCAGATAGATGGGGGAGAAAGCATGTTCTCTTTGTAAAACAGAAATGTGTTGAAGCGAAGGAGCACACACGATCTTACTCTATTTCTTTAATCATTTTGGTTTCTAAATTGCATTTATAATCATTATTCAGCCACTTAAATTAAATTTCTGGGCAGAGCACTAATATTTTCTCCAATTCATAATTATCCTTTCATCAGTGTACATTTAAATAGTATCATTTTGTTTTTGTTTTCCCTCTTTCCAGGCTACTGCATACTATGGATCTCATCATTCATTAAAGGTTATACAAGACATTTTTGTACTGGGTCACTGAAACAAACTTAGCGATGCATACTTATGCATGGCCTCAGCTTTTATGATAATATCTGTGAGATATGCTTAGTTTCAGAAAATATTGTTCCCCTATAAAACTATGAAGTTACAAAACTTTTATATGGACATTAGCACTTAAAAGTATTGATGCATTGCTATATTGAATTGTATCCCATAGATAGATTTGCTACTTGGCACATTTATATGACCACCTCAAATTTTTATATGATGAGATTTGCTACATATCAACGTATATATGTGCATGCAAATTTAGGTACGACACACTTGGATCAAGTTGAGGAAATATTTTAACTCTTGATTGTGCTATTGCTGTAAACATCACCCATGACTCCATATATTACTGATGGGCAATCTCGTAGCTTAACCTTTTGCAATAATAATGGTATAAAAAAAAAAACTACACCGGTGAACTCCAAGGATGGCGCGGCAGTGTATTCATCAAAGCTTCAACTTCTAATTGTAGGTGATACATACCTATAAGATTTCAATGACAAAAATTCGAACACCAAAGACATGGACGAAACAGACGACATTAACTTCCAATTGCAGATGATACATACATAACAACCAAAATACACAGGTCATCTTAGGTTGGCGCGGCAACGTCCGCGCCACAGTTTCTAGTGAAAATCCCAATGGAACTTTGCAACCTCATCAGGAATTATATTGATCACTGATAGCACTTAATTGTTTTGCCCTTGCAAACTTATGGCAGATCCATCTGGAGTTTTGTTGCTCGGGAAGGGGCGTATAAGCGCACGATGATTGTTATTCCCATGGCCAGTGCGAGTATTAGAGCTATAACGACCAGAGCAGAACTCCTGCAATCCATGGTCGCCATGTCACCTTCTCCCTGCATTGCTCCTCCTTTGCTGATCAGGTCAGTATGCTCCCTGCTTAGCTCACCGTTAGTATAATCTTGCTCTATCTTCATCCCTGTCTCGTTGGGTCTTGGAAACTCTGGCTCTTTCTTCACTATGGGCTTAACCAGTGATGACAGTGCTGGTCCTACCAGATCTTTCTTTTCGTCCTGCTCGAGCTCACCCTTGTCTGTGATTGTTCTTTCACCTTGCTTTGCTTCTTCTGTTTCTGTAACAATATCTTCTGTGTCTGCAACAGTATCTTCTGTTTCTGTAACAGTATCAGTAACCATGTCATCTAAGAGTTGGTCTTGATGCATCATCAACTGTGCCGTCGGCGTGTTCTCCATTGATTCAGCCTCTTGAGTACCATCACTCTCATCATTATGTTTACTGAGGATGATCCCTGGACCTTTGATGCAGAGTTTGCTTTGATCAGAAGCCTCCATATCTTCATTATCCTAAAAAAAATCACAGTTCAAAAGAAACAAGCACAAAAAATAAGGCTGCATAGATGACCAAATTTTGACCAGACATTGCAGATTCCAAAATTTTGACTGAAGAGCGAAGAAACAAATACTTTTTGGGCTATCTCTTTCTCGATGTCCTTGCTTGAGTCCTTTTCAACCTTCTCCACACTTCCACTAACCTGTAGCAAAAATTTAGAAGGACATGCAAAGATAAGAATGTAACAATGAGGCTCCAGACTTCCAGAGAATGCCCATGCAACTATGCAGGCAGTACAACACAAACGATTCAGCTTTCAGAATTGTACATACCAAACAAACATTGACCATTTCCTGCATGATGATCTCGACAGGGTTCCTGCTCGAACTCTGATCAATTCCTTGAACGTGAATTTTCTCAACATGTTCATTGTCCTGACAATGAAATTAAGAAGAACGAAAATAAATTAACATAAGGCACCTAAAACAACCACTGCATATATAGCAATAGGGTTTCAATGTTCACAGTTATGCTTACCAAACAAGAACTAACCATATCATGTGCAGTGATCTCGACATGGTTGCAGCTTGACTTCTGCTCAACTTTTTCGACATATTCTTTGTCCTGAAACTCAAATTCAGAAGAAATGAACAGAAGGTACCTACGAGGCTACGACAATCACTGCACAAATAGCATATAAAGGTTTCAGTTTCTCCCAATGTTGCACAGCAAACAAACACTAACCAGATCGTGCGTGTGAACCTCGACAGGATTGCTGCTTGAAATCTCATCAATTTTCTCTTCATGCTTGCTCTCCTAAAACCCATTTTTTTTACAAATGAAGCCATTTAAATAATCGCAGTGCATGCAAAATAGCATAAAGGTTTCAGTTTTCCCAATGTTGCATAGCAAACAAACACTAACCAGATCATGGACCTCGACAGGATTGCTGCCTGAATTCTCATCAATTTTCTCTACATGCTTGCTCTCCTGAAAACCAATTTGTTTTCCCAAACGAAGCCATTTAAATAATCACAGTGCATGCAAAATACAGTATTTTTTGAAACAAGCAAAATACAGTATTGATGTATATTGATTCGAGGTTAGTTAATCCGTTTGGACAGAGAAACACACCAATTGATCTGCAGTGATTTCATCATCCATGTGAATCTGATGGCTTTCCTCTGAGACGTTGCTATCCTGACACCATTATTCAGAAGATTTTACAGAGAGATAAGGTCACTACAACAACAACAAAACATGTATATGGTAATACCCCAATGAACAGAGTTAGCAACAATTATGCATGCAGAGCAGAAGCACTAACCAATCTACTGGATCCAATATCGGTGTTGCCCGCGCTCAACTTCTCATCGGACTGATCAAGCTCCTGCACCAATGAGTCACCCTGAACCTACAAATTTGAACCGATTTTGCATGTAAAATTTCACCTGAAAAGGCAAGAATCCAAGAACTCCACTTTCCATCAATGAATGCGGTAGGTAACTCCTCACCTTGCCATCCTCGACAATTCCGCCATCCAAAACCTCTTCTTTCCTGCAAAGAATCCACCCCAAACAAAACGTTCTTTTCAGCTCCAACGCCCAGCAGGAAAACAATACAGATCATCTGATATTCAATCCAATCTTATAATCGACAAAAGTTAACGAATTTCAAAGCGGCTCTGAAGTCTGAAGTCTGAACAGATGTGAGACGTACGCTGGCAGCCGGCGCTCAGGCTGGTCCACGGCACCATCCTTCTTGCCGTGGCGCGAGCGGCGCCACGCGAGGACGGCGGCCCCGACGACGGCCGCTCCGCCGATGAGCAGCAGCGCCCCGACGCCGTGCGGCGCCCGCGCACGCACGCGGAACTTCATGCCGCCGCCGCCGCCTTTCTTCCTCTCGGCGGCAGCTCCGGCTTCCTTCTCGTCCTGCTCCCGCTGCTGCTGCTGCTGCTGCCCCCGCGGTTCCTGGGCGGCGCCAAGAACGTGGCCTCCGACTGCCCAGCCGCCACCTTCCATGACAAGGGCGTGCGGCGCGGCGAATTAAAGGTCACGCGGCTTGGATGACGATCCTTCCCCTCCCTCCTAATTAAGTGGTTCGGACCTGGGTTGGTGCGCCGGTCCGGCTTCTCCTACGCGCGCGCGCGCGCGCGTGTTCTTGCGCGCGTTCTTTCTAGAGAAAGAGATGGAAGGAGAGAGAGAGAGAGAGAGAGAGAGAGAGGAGGAGGAGGAGGAGGAGGAGGTGTCGAGGTTTTAGGGTGGGTGGGAGAAGGGCCGGTCGGGTCGCATGGCCACTCGTCGATCGTTCGCAGCTCGCGGAGTGCCAGAGTCGCCGCGCAGACCCAGAACTCTCGGATCCCCACGGAATGAGCGTGATCGGTTGTCTGATTCGTAAAGAAATATTGTTGATTGGTTTATGTAAGAGAAAAATATTATTTTAATTGAAAATTTATAATTATTTATGATAAGCCACTGTCAAATGAACCTGCTGTGGGAGGAAAAGTGTCGCTGGACTGCCCGAAAACTAAAGGCAAACCTGCCTGCGTGTGCTCTTAAATGCGTCATGGATCGCAGTAATGCTTTTGTTATCCGTAGTTTTGTGAACATAAATTGTGATCGAGTCAAAACTGAATATTTTTAGCAAACTTTAGAGGGAAACCTCTCCGAGGGTACACGACGAGGTGGCACACGTGTTTGGTGTTTCTGACCGCTGGCGTAAGCAAGAGGTGAAGACAAAACGGTACCGTCTGGGTCGTGACACGTGATGAGCGTCTCCATCGTCGCAACATAGGGACAACAGCTCGGTCCTTATACATACCAAATACATGTATGACTTCATCTGATGCATCACGACAACGTTGAGAAAATGCCAAAATGGAATCCTGATCGTCGCAACATAGGGACAACAGCTCGGTCCTGTTTAGCATGGTTTAACTTTTTTACTAATTTTTTTGGAGTAGGTCATAAAAACTACTTCTGAGAAGCAGCTTAGGTAAAAAAAAAAGCTTGATGTTTGTAGCCTACTCCGTACTGACATTTAGAGCGTCTCCATCGGTGCCTTCCATATCCCACCACAAATATAATCACGACTACCAATATAGAAACAGGACTTCATGCAATTCAAAGAGTTTAGAGACTGAGACGACACAATTAAACACACTTGAGGACCATCAATGAACTTTACTCATACTATTTCAATAATTAAGGAGGTGTTTTTCAATCTCCCAACAATCCAACCCCGTTATATATCCTTACTTGTAGGTGAGCCCAAATTGTAAGTGGGTCAAACATTATCTTTACCAGCCACTGCTGCCTGCGCTTCGCTGCGGGTGATATGCTTGGTATAGGAAATATGTCAAGGGAAGATCATATGTCTAATATGTTTTCGTACTGCGTTGCTACGAAAAGTCAGGTCTATTTGGTACATTAAATGTTGGGAAAATATGGGAAGAAAAGATAACATGTCTTTTTTCATTACAATGTTGTAAACGAACATAGAAGTTGGTTGTCATTATATGATGCCTATTCTAGGCCAGCAAATCAATGCCACATTAGTATAAAGAAGTGTTTAATGGAGTTGGGCTCAAGCAACTCGCATACTTAGATTCAAAGCACAACATTGGGTGGGATTACTGTCGGTGTTTCGAGTAAACACCAACGAGTAAATTTGTATTATTGCGCGTTGGACCCGGATGGTGTACTAAAAGACACAAGGTTTATACTGGTTCGGGCAGAATGTCCCTACGTCCAATTTGCGACTATTGCTCGTGTTATTAGCACTGAAAGGTTCGTAGTAGGGGTTACAAACGAGCGAGAGAGGGACATGTCCCAAGTCTCTGATGGAAAGGTTGAAAGGGCGCTGGGAGCTTGGTTGCTGCTCAGCTATGTGTGATGAGATGTGTGGTGTGTTCTATTGATCCATCCCTTTAGTGGGGTGCCCTGCCTTCCCTTTTATAGACCAAGGGGAAGCAGGGATTACATATGGGAAAAGAAGAAAAACCAGAGGCGAAGGTCTTTCGAAGGTGCCGAGTCTTCTTTTTCCTCTGAGCGAGCCCTCCTGACATGGTAGACGGTGCCAGGGATAGCTCCATGCTGGGTGCATGTTCGCTGATCCTGATAGGGCCGTGCTCTATCTTTGTTAGCAAGTGGTCACGTCCCATCCCTCCCCGGCGGGCGACGCGACGGACCAGGGCGCTGAACTGCGACCCTACGGGGAGCAGACGGCTCAGTGACCCCACGTCCGTCACTGTAGATGATGTGAGTTTCCTCCTGGACCGTAGTGGTTGTTGTATGCTTCCGTTAGGATAAAAGGTCCTAATATGGCTAGAGGGGGGGGGTAAATAGCCTATTTACAATTCTACAAATCAACTAGAGTAATTTGATTAGTAAGACAAATAGCGAAATGCAAACTTGCTCTAACTCTACGAGGGTTGCAAGCCACCTATCCAACAATTCTAATTGCAATGATTACTAGACACATAACTTGCTATGATACTACTCACTAAGAGCTCTCAATCTTCTACACTAAAGAGCTCCACTAGATAAACTTAAATAACAAAACAAGCTCTCAATTCTAATTACACTAAAGACCTTGCCACAACTAGTTTGCAAGAATATAGAAGAGTGAGTAGGGTGATTATACCGCCGTGTAGAGGGATGAACCAATCACAAGATGAAGATGAAATCAATCACCGAGAGAATGCCAAATGGCAAGAGACAACCGATTTTCTCTCGCGGTTCACGTGCTTGCCAACATGCTACGTCCCCGTTGTATCGACCAACACTTAGTGGTTCGGCGGCTAAGAGGTGTTGCACAAACCTCGTCCACACGATTGGACACCGCAAGAACCTACCCACAAGTGAGGTAACTCAATGACACGAGCAATCCACTAGAGTTACCTTTCGGCGCTCCATCGGGGAAGGTACAAATCCCCTCACAATCATCGGAGATGGCCACGAACAATCACCAACTCTTGCCAATCCTCCACCGCTGCACCAAGCCATCTAGGTGGTGGCAACCACCAAGAGAAATAAGTGAAACCCGCAGCGAAACACGAATACCAAGTGCCTCTAGATGCAATCACTCAAGCAATGCACTTGGATTCTCTCCCAATCTCACAATGATGATGAATCAATGATGGAGATGAGTGGGAGGACTTTGGCTAAGCTCACAAGGTTGCTATGTCAATGCAAATGGCCAGGAGAGTGAGCTTGAGCCGGCCATGGGGCTTAAATAGAAGCCCCCATGACATAGAGCCGTTGGGCTCCTCACTGCACTGAACATGGGCCGATCGGACGCTCCGGTCATATTGACCGGACGCTGGACCTCAGCGTCCGGTCATGCGATGTGCGCCACGTGTCATCGGCTTCAAACGCCGATCGCCTGATTTCAACGGTCAAGTGATGACCGGATGCGTCAGTTAGAAAGTGACCGGACGCTGGATCTTAGCGTCCGGTCATTTCCAGTAAGGTTCCAAACGTGACATTTCACGACCGGACGCGTTCGGTCACGCCCGACCGGACTCACCCAGCGTCCAGTCACACAACGTCTCCTCTGTGCGCCTCACGTCAGCGTACGTCAGCATTGACCGGGCGCACCCTGCCAGCGTCCGATCACTTTTAGCGCTAGCGTCCGATCGAAGATCGAAACACGCGCCCTCTATTGCCACTGACCGGACGCTCCGGTCCAACCGAGACCAGCGTCCGGTCACATACAGTGACCTTCGTCTTCTCTGTCTAGGGCGCCGGTGGCACCATCGGACTGTCCACACTCTACAGGCGGACACTCCACCGGTGAAGTTTCCTACCCTTGCTCAAATGTGCTAACCACCAAGTGTATCACCTTGTGCACATGTGTTAGCATACTTTCACAAACATTTTCAAGGGTGTTAGCACTCCACTAGATCCTAAATGCATATGCAATGAGTTAGAGCATCTAGTGGCACTTTGATAACCGTATTTCAATACGAGTTTCACCCCTCTTAATAGTACGGCTATCGATCCTAAATGCGATCATACTCGCTAAGTGTCTCGATCACTAAAACAAAATGGCTCCTACAATTTTTACCTTTGCCTTGAGCCTTTTGTTTTTCTCTTTCTTCTTTTCCAAGTTTAAGCATTTGATCATCACCACGCCATCACCATCGTCATGATCTTCGCCATCGCTTCATCACTTGGAGTAGTGCTACCTATCTCATAATCACTTTGATAAACTAGGTTAGCACTTAGGGTTTCATCAATTAACCAAAACCAAACTAGAGCTTTCACAGGATCCGTGCCCGAGGGCAAATGCTGGCGACCATAACACTATAAGACAAATGTCGACGCCCACAACACTATTCGGGCTTCGTACATGCCCGGAAGGGCTTAAAGCGCTTGTCCTGTCATATCCTGACGGTACTTTCCTGCAGGCGTGCAGGGTATGGTCCTCGGTATTGCGGTTGACTTGAGTGCCCCGTCTTATCCGCGTGCGTAGTTATGAAGGAGCAGTGTGCAATCGTCAGGAGAGGCGGAGCCAGCTCCCAGACGTCGGGCGAGGCGGTGCCTGGCCCCGGACATCAGGCGAGGCAGAGCCAGCCCCTGGGGGTCGGGCGAGGCGGAGCCTGCCCCCGGACGTCAGGCGAGGCGGAGGCGGAGCCAGCCCTCAGACGTCGGGCGAGGCGGAGCCAGCCCCCGAACATCGAGCGAGGCGGAGCCAGCCCCTGGACGTCGAGCGAGGCAGAGCCAGCCCCCGGACGTCGGGCTAGGCGGAGCCAGCCCTAGGGGTCGGGCGAAGCGGAGTCCGCCCTCAGACATCGGGCGAGGCAGAGTCTGCCCTCAGACGTCGGGCGAGGCGAAGCCAACCTTTGGGGGTCGGACGAGACAGAGTTAACCCTCGGTCGTTGGGCAAGAGGTGTAGTCGCGTTCTTGCCTATTCGGAAGCATCAACGTTTGATGGTTATTAGCTCCTCCTCTTTGAGTACCCCAGTATTTGGTCCCCGACAGTAGCCCCCAAGCCCCTAGGTGATTCGGATAGAATC